ACAACAAGCAGACATCATAGAGTCACGACAAGCAGACATCATAGAGTCACGACAAGCAGACATCATAGAGTCACAACAAGCAGACATCATAGAGTCACAACAAGAAGACATCACAGAGTCACAACAAACAGACATCATAGAGTCACAACAAGCAGACATCATAGTCACAACAAGCAGACATCATAGAGTCACAACAAGCAGACATCATAGAGTCCCAACAAACAGACATCATAGAGTCACAACAAGCAGACATCATAGAGTCACAACAAGCAGACATCATAGAGTCACAACAAGCAGACATCATAGAGTCACAACAAGCAGACATCATAGAGTCACAACAAGCAGATATCATAGAGTCACAACAAGTAGACATCATAGAGTCACGATAAGCAGACATCATAGAGTCACAACAAGCAGACATCATAGAGTCACAACAAGCAGACATCATAGAGTCACAACAAGCAGACATCATAGAGTCCCAACAGACATCATAGAGTCACAACAAGCAGACATCATAGAGTCACAACAAACAGACATCATAGAGTCACAACAAACAGACATCATAGAGTCACAACAAGCAGACATCATAGAGTCACAACAAGTAGACATCATAGAGTCACAACAAGCAGACATCATAGAGTCACAACAAGCAGACATCATAGAGTCACAACAAGCAGACATCATAGAGTCACAACAAGCAGACATCATAGAGTCACAACAAGCAGACATCATAGAGTCACAACAAGCAGACATCATAGAGTCACAACAAGCAGACATCATAGAGTCACGACAAGCAGACATCATAGAGTCACAACAAGCAGACATCATAGAGTCACAAGAAGCAGACATCATAGAGTCACAACAAGTAGACATCACAGAGTCACAACAAACAGACATCATAGAGTCACAACAAGCAGACATCATAGAGTCACAACAAGCAGACATCATAGAGTCACAACAAGCAGACATCATAGAGTCCCAACAAACAGACATCATAGAGTCACAACAAGCAGACATCATAGAGTCACAACAAGCAGACATCATAGAGTCACAACAATCAGACATCATAGAGTCACAACAAGCAGACATCATAGAGTCACAACAAGCAGACATCATAGAGTCACAACAAGTAGACATCATAGAGTCACAACAAGCAGACATCATAGAGTCACAACAAGCAGACATCATAGAGTCCCAACAAACAGACATCATAGAGTCACAACAAGCAGACATCATAGAGTCACAACAAACAGACATCATAGAGTCACAACAAACAGACATCACAGAGTCACAACAAGCAGACATCACAGAGTCACAACAAACAGACATCACAGAGTCACAACATGCAGACGTCATAGAGTCACAACAAGCAGACATCACAGAGTCACAACAAGCAGACATCACAGAGTCACAACAAGCAGACGTCATAGAGTCACAACAAGCAGACATCACAGAGTCACAACAAGCAGACATCACAGAGTCACAACAAGCAGACGTCATAGAGTCACAACAAGCAGACATCATAGAGTCACAACAAGCAGACATCATAGAGTCACAAAAAGCAGACATCATAGAGTCACAACAAGCAGACATCATAGAGTCACAACAAGCAGACATCATAGAGTCACAACAAGCAGACATCATAGAGTCACGACAAGCAGACATAGAGTCACAACAAGCAGACATCATAGAGTCACAAGAAGCAGACATCATAGAGTCACAACAAGTAGACATCACAGAGTCACAACAAACAGACATCATAGAGTCACAACAAGCAGACATCATAGAGTCACAACAAGCAGACATCATAGAGTCACAACAAGCAGACATCATAGAGTCCCAACAAACAGACATCATAGAGTCACAACAAGCAGACATCATAGAGTCACAACAAGCAGACATCATAGAGTCACAACAATCAGACATCATAGAGTCACAACAAGCAGACATCATAGAGTCACAACAAGCAGACATCATAGAGTCACAATAAGTAGACATCATAGAGTCACAACAAGCAGACATCATAGAGTCACAACAAGCAGACATCATAGAGTCCCAACAAACAGACATCATAGAGTCACAACAAGCAGACATCATAGAGTCACAACAAACAGACATCATAGAGTCACAACAAACAGACATCATAGAGTCACAACAAGCAGACATCATAGAGTCACAACAAGTAGACATCATAGAGTCACAACAAGCAGACATCACAGAGTCACAACAAGCAGACATCACAGAGTCACAACAAACAGACATCACAGAGTCACAACAAGCAGACGTCATAGAGTCACAACAAGCAGACATCACAGAGTCACAACAAGCAGACATCACAGAGTCACAACAAGCAGACGTCATAGAGTCACAACAAGCAGACATCACAGAGTCACAACAAGTAGACATCACAGAGTCACAACAAGCAGACATCATAGAGTCACAACAAGCAGACATCTCAGAGTCACAACAAGCAGACGTCATAGAGTCACAACAAGCAGACATCACAGAGTCACAACAAGTAGACATCACAGAGTCACAACAAGCAGACATCATAGAGTCACAACAAGCAGACATCATGGAGTCACAACAAGCAGACATCATAGAGTCACAACAAGCAGACATCATAGAGTCACAACAAGCAGACATCATAGAGTCACAACAAGCAGACATCATAGAGTCACGACAAGCAGACATCATAGAGTCACAACAAGCAGACATCATAGAGTCACAACAAGCAGACATCATAGAGTCACAACAAGCAGACATCATAGAGTCACAACAAGCAGACATCATAGAGTCACAACAAGCAGACATCATAGAGTCACAACAAGCAGACATCATAGAGTCACAACAAGTAGACATCATAGAGTCACAACAAGTAGACATCATAGAGTCACAACAAGCAGACATCATAGAGTCACAACAAGCAGACATCATAGAGTCACAACAAGTAGACATCATAGAGTCACGACAAGCAGACATAATAGAGTCACAACAAGCAGACATCATAGAGTCACAACAAGCAGACATCATAGAGTCCCAACAAACAGACATCATATCCCAACAAACAGACATCATAGAGTCACAACAAGCAGACATCATAGAGTCACAATAAGCAGACATCATAGAGTCACAACAAACAGACATCATAGAGTCACAACAAGCAGACATCATAGAGTCACAACAAACAGACATCATAGAGTCACAACAAACAGACATCATAGAGTCACAACAAGCATACATCATAGAGTCACAACAAGCAGACGTCATAGAGTCACAGAAACAGAGGAAATACTAAATTGAAACCGATTATAATTGAATTAAATATCACGATTCTTTGCTCTGCACCAATTTAAAGGCACACCGTGTAACTCTTGGCCACTAGGGGCGCTAGACCTGCAACTTTCACGTTTAGCGCCCCTAGTGGCCACAAGCAACTCAGCACTGTCGCAAAAGTCAACAAACAGTCAGCCGGTGTCTTTTGAGTGTGTATTCAGACAGCATGCACTGGTGTGTGTGTTCAAACTGTAGAGACATGCCTACAGATATTGAGAGACTCTGCTGTGGTCAGCCTCCAGACCGCTGCATTAGTAATCTACCACACATGGACTTCTATATCCTGGATGAGGGAGTTCTGCGTCTAGCTCGTGCTGCGTGGAATGACATCTTTGCAGTCGATGACATCCAGGAACCAGGTGAAGAGCAGCGCTCATACAGACATGCAGCTTACAGCACGATCCCTTTCGCGTTTCCTCTTTTTAGCCTCCTCCGAAGGTTTAAAATTTTTCCTTGCCTCAGCCATGACCAGGAGTCGAGCAGGTGAAAAATGAGTAGCAAAAGCCTTAGCTCCATGAGTATATCAGCGCCTGTAGCCGTAAAGCAAGTCTTTCTTCCAAGTCACGTGACCTGGTGGCAGACGGTCCGTCTGCTCGAAACTTACATGGGCGGTATTTCAAGAGGGCAGCCCCGCTCGGAGCATTGCAAGTGTCAAGCGCTGTATATTGGCCCAAGTATTCATATAAAATAACTCATATGTGTCAACTCTTTAGGTCACAAAGTCCGCGGTGTGCCTTTAATTGTGTGTGTAAAATATCGCGATACTGAACAGAATCGATTTTCCCTCCACTACTGGTTTTAGTAATTACTTCATATTACTTCATTCAAAGTAATAAATGAAGGAAAACTGTGGTGCAGCTTGTGTCCCGGTGAAAGTGTTTGTTTAGTGATTGAACTGTTTGAATTCATTAACTATCTAACTGCTGCTCTGCTCCACAACGCCCCAGAGCAGAGAGAGAGGACCCATTATCTACAAGTACTTTCCCAGACTCTACCAGGCTGTCCCAGGTTCTCCCACGCTCGCCTACTTTCCCATCCTATCCCAGTCTCTCCCAGTCTCTTCCAGTCCCTCCCAGACTCTTCCAGTCTCTCTCAGTCTCTCCCTGTCTCTTCCAGTCTCTCCCAGACTCTTCCAGTCACTCCCAATCTCTCCCAGTCTCTCCCAGTCTCTTCTAGTCTCTCCCAGTCTCTTCCAGACCCTCCCAGTCTCTTCTAGTCTCTCCCAGTCTCTTCCAGACCCTCCCAGTCTCTTCCAGTCTCTCCCAGTCTCTCTCCGTCTCTCCCAGTCTCTCTCAGTCTCTCCCAGTCTTGCCCGGTCTCTCCAAGTCTCTCTCAGTCTCTCCCAGTCTCGCCCGGTCTCTCCCAGTCTCGCCCGGTCCCTCCCAGTCTCTCCCAGTCTCTCTCAGTCTCTCTCAGTCTCTCTCAGTCTCTCCCAGTCTCTCTCAGTCTCTCTCAGTCTCTCTCAGTCTCTCCCAGTCTATCTCAGTCTATCTCAGTCTCTCCCAGTCTTGCCCGGTCTCTCCCAGTCTCCCAGTCTCTCTCAGTCTCTCCCTGTCTCTTCCAGTCTCTCCCAGACTCTTCCAGTCTCTTCCAGTCTCTCTCAGTTTCTCCCAGTCTCTTCTAGACCCTCCCCGTCTCTTCTAGTCTCTCCCAGTCTCTTCCAGACCCTCCCAGTCTCTTCCAGTCTCTCCTAGTCTCTCCCAGTCTCTCTCCGTCTCTCCCAGTCTCTCTCAGTCTCTCCCAGTCTCTCTCAGTCTCTCCCAGTCTTGCCCGGTCTCTCCAAGTCTCTCCCAGTCTCTCTCAGTCTCTCCCAGTCTCGCCCGGTCTCTCCCAGTCTCTCCCAGTCTCTCTCAGTCTCTCTCAGTCTCTCCCAGTCTCTCCCAGTCTCTCTCAGTCTCTCCCAGTCTCGCCCGGTCTCTCCCATTCTTACCCAGTCTCTTCCAATCTCTCCCAGTCTCTCCCAGTCTCTCTCAGTCTCTCTCTGTCTCTCCCAGTCTCTCCCAGTCTCTCTCTCTCTCAGTCTCTCTCTGTCTCTCCCAGTCTCTCCCAGTCTCTCCCAGGTCATCCATACAGTCTAACCCGGGACAAACACCTCAACATTCCTGTCCATAAATTCCAATATCAGTTTCATAGTGTCCACAGACAACATCTTGGAGGACTTTCTGAAGCTGTCGATTGACCAACAGAAGATCAGAAAATCAAATAGTTCAAACTCGGGAAATACAATGATGCGGATACAATACTGTGGAGTTCCATTGCTCTGTCCCGGTCCTGGTCCCGGTCCTGGTCCTGGTCCTGGTCCTGGTCCCGATCCTGGTCCTGGTCCCGGTCCTGGTCCTGGTCCTGCTCCTGGTCCATGTTCTGGTCCTGGTCCTGGTCCAGTACCATACAGAGCTCACAGTACCATTCATCTGCTCCACTCACTTCTGGTCAGATACTACTGGAGCCACAGCTGCCCTGGGACCATTTGGTAGAAGCAAGGCTGCCTCTCCTCCCCTGCTCCTCCTCTTCCTCTCACAGACACTCACTCATCTCTCTCCTCCTCTCCCCTGCTCCTCCTCTCCTTCTCCCTCTCCTTCTCACACACACAGACCCTGTCCTCTCTTCCCCTCCCCTGCTTCTCCTCTTCTCTCCCTCTCACAGACATCACTCACCTATCGCCCCTCCCCTCCTTTCCTTCCCTCCCCTGCTCCTCCTCTCCTCTCCTCTCCCTCTAACAGACATAGTCCTTACTCACCTCTCTCCCTTCCTCTTCCTCTCACAGAAACAGCTCTCTCCTCCCCTGCTCCTTCTCTCTTCTCCCTCTCACAGACTGTCCTCACTCACCTCCTCCTTTTCTCCCCTGCTCCTCCTCTCCTCTCCCTCTCACAGACACAGTCCTCACTCACCTCTCTCCTCCTCTCCATCCCTTCCCTGCTCCTCCTCTTCCTCTCACAGACACTCACTCACCTCTCTCCTCCTCTCCCCCGCTCCTCCTCTCTTCTCCCTCTCCTTCTCACACACACAGATCCTGTCCTCTCTCCCCTCCTCTCCTCTCCTCCCCTGCTCCTCCTCCTCTCTCCCTCTCACAGACAGTCGCAGTCCTCACTCACCTCCTCTCCTTCCCTCCCCTGCTCCTCCTTTCCTGTCCTCTCCCTCTCACAGACAGCTCCACTCCTCTCTCACCTATCTCCTCCTCTCCTACCCTCCCCTGCTCCTCCTTTCCTCTCCTCTCCCTCTCACAGACACAGACCCTCTCCTAACTCACCTATCTCCTCCTCACCTTCCCTTCCCTGCTCCTCCTCTCCTCTCCCTCTCACAGACACAGACCCTGTCCTAACTCACCTCTCTCTCCTCCTCTCCTCTCCTCTCCTTCCCTCCTCCTCCTCTCCCTCTCACTCTCTGAGACAGCTCCTCTCCTCACTCCTCAGTCTCTCACCTGCCTCTGATAGTATCAATGCACAACAGAGAACTTTGATGTGGTCCCTTTCAGCCTCAGACCTCAGACCTTCTGTATGTTTCCCACAGACAACGCACATGTTTCCTCGTGTGGTGTATCGTTGTGTGTCGTGTCTTCAAGGCCTTAACAGTGTTGTGTAGTCTACAACAGCAACATCTGTGCAGAGTACGGGCTGGAAACCATGAGAAAGAGAGAAGACGTAGGACCCCGAGGAGACACTCTGAGCCAGAAATGAAATGTATTGAACTGAAAGTGTGTGTACCGTACTGTGGCCTGTGTTTTTGTGTATCGTACATATATATACTGCTGCTGTGACCTGAAGGGCTGTTGCGGGTTATTACTATTGTTAGCTACTGGACACCTGAATTTCTCCGACGGGGATCAATAAAGTATCTATCTATCTATATTGAATCAGATCCAGCTCTGTAGTCACTCATGTTGTATGAACACATTTGCTTACCCTTTCTGTTTATATGTTCTATCTGTGTCTGCATATAGGTTTCCTCCAGGTGCTCCTGTTTTTCCTCCCACTATAATGTACGACACTCAGGATGAATGAGTGAGTGTTTGTGAGTACAATCCTCAAGTAGAGTCTGTATTTACGGCTGTTCACTAATGCGTCCTGATCATTTTAAACAACAGTAACACAAAATGGAAACTAAATGTCATTTCTCTCTGTGACTTATTGATCTAGATAGATTCTTTATTGATCTCTGTAGAGGAAATTCCGGTGTCTAGTAGCAGAAAACATATCTGTAATCTATAACAGATTGATGCAACAGCTTTTGCCTAAATAATTAGAACGAGTCTATATTTCGTGCCTTTAGTTATTCTCTCTGTGATGTTGATGGTGTAACCTCACAGCACATGACGGGCTTATTTTCTCAGAATCAAAATAAAGTGTAATGTCATTGTTATTATTCTGGCACAAAGCCCATGCCCTTCCTCTTCAGTAAAAGTATCTGAGGGAAAAGGCTGGGACCACAGTGACGTCACATGTCATCTCCAGAAAGTTATACAATGTTGCTTTAATCAAGCCATTCTAATGTTTGTATAGAAATATAAAGTATACAGTAAGAGTATCATGTGAGACGTGCAGCATACCCCTATACTGCACACACACACACACACACACATACACACACACATACGCACACACACATACAACATACATACGGCATAAGGAAGCTGCTCTCACCGGTCAGGGCGCTCCGTGCTCGGGGCGGTCCGCTGCTGAAGCCTCGGTGAGAGAAGAGCTACGGAGCGGAGCGCAGACCCCACACACCATGTCCTCCTCCCGGGCCGGTGCTGGTCGCTGTCCCGGTATCAGCGGCTCCAGATGCGCTGTGTGGGCCCCTGATGCGCTGTGCGGGCCCCTGATAGCGCAGAGCCGAGTCAGACTGGACCTCCCCTTCCTCCCCCTCCTCCCCTGGCTGCAGTGACGTCACAGTTCCTGTTTGCACTCGGCGCTTTGGAAACAACCTGTGTCTGTGTGACTGCGCAGAGTGGACCAACACTGTGGACACTTGAGGAGGGCCCCAGACTGTAGGCCCCACACACGTCTGGAGCTCAGTCATGAGACTATACTAAGCCGCATGTAACTATAGTAACTATAGTATATAGTACAGGCCTACGTACCTATGCTCTTCAACAGAACCAAACAAGTTTACAATCAATATTTACAAATGTGAAAAACTACAGAGTACTTAAGTGTTTACTTTGAACTTATGTTAAAATGTACAAGAGGCTTTGGCACTTATACTGATGACAGAAACACTCTGATATTAGCTCAAACATTGCAATATGATAATATGAGTTTATATAATATAATAACTAGTTATTATGGGTTATTCACTTTAAAACACGCGTCCTAAGTGTGAGCTTGCATCTCCACAGACCTGACTCACAGACACTTGTAATATTTCACTGCGTGACATCAAACGCACACTTCAACAGAGAACGTCTTATGTTCATAACTTTATGATGTTCCTTCAGCTTCTGCTGTTGTTATAAATGCAGATGTCACAGCAGCATCCCTCTGCCGCCCCCTAGTGGCCTCCTCCGAGCTGTACACATGCACACAGAGTTGAGACTTTGGTTCAAGTTGTTACAGACCAAGAGCAACAGTTATGATCTAAATCATGTTTCACATGTCGAAGAAACACTGACCCTGACCCACCACACACCTCTCGGAGGCCCTGGGCCTGACCCTGATCAACAAACCACATGACAAATATTGATTGTTTTGATTATGATTATTATGCAATTATGCCTCCTGTTCTTTTTTTTCAACAAAAATTTACGCTCTGAAATTAAATTTAAATTAGAATTATAACATTGTTTTTAACTTCAAAGGCTAATGGATATCCAGGCTCCCGGGATCTCTCGGTCAGGTGCAGACTGCTCCAGGCTCTGACACATGCTCAAAGGTGTTGCACATTCTGCCTGCAGCGAAACGTGCTGGAGGCATCCCAAACACATGCCTGGACTCACCACCGGAGCTGGGGGCCAGGGGCCAGGAGCCGCTCCACCTCAGGCTCAGAGCGCCCTCTGCCGGTGAGAGGGGCACGCGCTCCTCCGGTGCCATTTTGAGTGAGTGAAGTTGAACAGAGCCGTTTAGAGAGCAGCCTGCGGAGCACAGTGAGTGATGAGCCTGCGGGCTGCACTGTGCGCGGGCACGCTGTGTTCACTGTGCGTGCGTGTGCATGAGTGTGTGTGTGTGTGTGTGTGTGTATGGTCAGAGGAAGATTCCTCCTGTCCTGAGCTGGTCCTGTTCCTCCCAGAGGAGCGTCTCTCTGCCTAATGAGGCGCGTGCGCGCTAATGAGCTCTGATTGCCGCGCGGGGGGTCTGCACGGGACAGGGCTCCCCTGGACCACAGCCGCGGTTATGTCTGCGTCACGTGTGTGCACGTGGCGTGCCGTACGTACGTGTACGTGTACGGTGGCAGCTCCTGTCATCAGCATCAATAGGCCGCGGGGGGCGGAGGGGAACAGCACCGATCAAAGCGACATGACGAAACGCACACTCCCGCCTCCCGCGCTCTGACGGCGGACTCACTGACACACCGCGGGAACATACATGCAGAGGCCCGGCCCGAGCCTCCCAGCCCCCGCTACACCTCACGGAGCTCCGCACATGAGCCCCAGGACCGAGAGAGCGCCGCCCCGAAGCCGCCGGCCCTGACAGGTACGGAAGCACCGGGGAGCACCGGGACACCGCAGCTGAGGCTCCTCATCAGCTCCACATCAGCAGCAGCAGCCTCCAGGCGCAGCGGCCGCCATGCGTCAGTGCGTCAGTGAGAGCGGAGCCAAGTGTCGGCATGTCAACAGTGTGCGCGCGCCTCTGTCTGCCGCGCACGGGCCCCGGGCGTCTGTCCGCGAGGAGCCGTGAGGAGCCCCGAGGAGCCCCAGTGTCTGCCCTCTCTGTCCTCTCCTCTGCCCTGTCCTCTCCTCTGTCCTCTCCTCTGCTCTCTTCTCTCCTCTGCTCTCTCCTCTCCTCTCTCTCTCTTCTGCTCTCTCTCTTTCCTCTGCTGTCTCTCCTCTCCTCTGCTCTCTCCTCAACTCTACTCTCTTTCTCTCTCCTCTGCTCTCTCTCCTCTCCTTTGCTCTCTCTCCTCTGCTCTCTCTCCTCTCCTCTGCTCTCTCTCCTTTACTCTCTCTCTCTCCTCTGCTCTCTCTCCTCTCATCTGCTCTCTCTCCTCTCCTCTCTCTCTCCCCTCTGCTCTCTCTCCTCTCCTCTGTTCTCTCTCCTTTACTCTCTCTCTCCTCTGCTCTCTCTCCCCTCTGCTCTCTCTCCTCTCCTCTCTCCCCTCTTCTCTCTCTCCTCTGCTCTCTCTCCTCTCCTCTCTCTCCTCTCCTCTGCTCTCTCTCTCCCCTCTGCTCTCTCTCCTCTCCTCTGCTCTCTCCTCTCCTCTGCTCTCTCCTCTCCTCTGCTCTCTCTCCTCTTCTCTTCTCTCTTCTGCCGCGGGACCTGTGCTGCCTGGAGACCATGTGTCTGTGTGCGAGCCTCTCCGGGGCCCGACACAAAGGCACAGGGGCCCTAACCACTTTGAATACATAAGTGAAATATTACTCACCTCTGACTTGGAGACAGGGAGAAGACCAAGGAATGGAACAAGTCAGAAGCAAAAACTCTACAACCAAACGTGCTCCTGTGGCTCTGTTTGCCACATCGAACTGTTGTGCTTTTCTCTTCGGGAGCAGCCTCCTCACCTCACTCCAGCCTTTGTTTTCAGCTTTGACTCACACCATCAGTGTAATAGTGGTGTGTGGTCAAACTCATTCTGGTCAGGGGCCAAAAGTATAAATGTGTTTTTGTTTTCTTTGTTTATTTTTGTTTTTTCTTTAACATTTTTTCGTTTTTTGACAAATTATCGACTGTATTTGACGCGAGTTGTTAGTATTTTCCTTTGTAATGAGTCCCAACACAGCTAGAGTATAACCGTGTGTAACCGTCTGTCTGTGTGTGTGTTTGTGTGTGTGTGTGTGTCTCTCTCTCTCTCTGTGGGTCTGTGTTTGTCTGTGTGTATGTGTGTGTCTCTCTGTGTGTGTGGCTCTCTGTGTCTGTATGTCTGTGTGCGTGTATGTGTCTCTCTCCCTCTGTGTGTGTCTGTTTGTGTCTCCCTCTCTGTATGTATTTGTCTCTGTGTGTGTGTGTGTGTGTGTATGTGTGTGTCTCTGTGTTTGTCTGTGTGTATGTGTGTGTCTCTGTGTCTGTGTGTGTCTCTCTCCGTGTGTGTGTATGTATTTGTGTCTCTCTCTCTCTATGTGTATGTCTCTGTGTTTGTGTGTGTGTCTCTGTGTGTCTGTCCTTCTATCTGTGTGTGTGTCTGTGTGTGTGTATTTGTGTCTGTGTATGTCTCTCTCTCTCTGTGTGTGTGTGTCCGTGTGTCTGTGTGTGTGTATGTCTCTCTCTCTCTCTCTCTGTGTGTGTTTGTCTCTCTCTCTGTGTGTGTCTGTGTGTTTGTCTCTCTCTCTGTGTGTGTGTGTGTCTCTCTGTGTGTGTGTGAGACAGGATGGGCGCAGTGACTGAGGGAGAGGACGTTCTGGCCAGATGGACCGACGGCCTGCTCTACCTCGGGAACGTCAAGAGAGTGAGTGACGTCTGTGATGTCACATTATCTCAGTGATAAACAATGAGACTATGGATCGTCCCATTCACATAAACACACTCCGGGGGGTAGCATCAGTTTAGACATCGACCTCCTTCACATTCAGACAGTTTGGTCAAAGACTCTGACTTTGACCTTTACGTATGCAGTATGTAACGCACCACTAAATATACAGATCACTTCTGGTGGGAAAAAGAAAACTCAGGAAGGCTGTAGATCCAGAACTGAGGCTGTAGATCCAGAACTGAGGCTGTAGATCCAGGACTGAGGCTGTAGATCCAGGACTGAGGCTGTAGATCCAGGACTAAGGCTGTAGATCCAGGACTGAGGCTGTAGACCCAGGACTGAGGCTGTAGATCCAGGACTGAGGCTGTAGATCCAGGACTGAGGCTGTAGACCCAGGACTGAGGCTGTAGATCCAGGACTAAGGAGGCTCCCAGGTGAGTCCCTGCCTTGGGAGACCAGTCCAGAGACCGTGCTTTCGATGTCTTTTGTTGCCGATTTGAACCCATATCTGTGAAGGAACTGGAAATAGCTTTTATTTTACCTAAACTCTCAGCAACTAAATACAGAATGAAGTGTCGTGGAATGGACCAAGCTGACCCTGACCCTCCTGAAGAACGTTCTGCTCATACCCATCCTTCTCCTTGCTGCTTGTTTCTTTTTTATCAATGGAATAATTGGATTCTGTTTTATCTAACCTCTAATCCACGTTTGTCTGGACACAGCTGTCACTCAATGCACATCATGCACTCGGAAACTATGAACCAGTGAATCCAGATGAACGCTGTGTTGCTCTGATTCTGTCTGCCTCTGGAGTGAGACCTCTGCCCCTGGAGTAAGACGTCTGCCTCTGGAGTGAAACCTCTGCCTCTGGAGTGAAACCTCTGCCTCTGGAGTGAGACCACTGCCCCTGGAGTGAGACCTCTGCCTCTGGAGTGAGACCTCTGCCTCTGGAGTGAAACCTCTGCCTCTGGAGTGAGACCTCTGCCTCTGGAGTGAGACCTCTGCCTCTGGAGTGAGACCTCTGCCTCTGGAGTGAGACCTCTGCCTCTGGAGTGAGACCTCTGCCTCTGGAGTGAGACCTCTGCCTCTGGAGTGAGACCTCTGCCTCTGGAGTGAGACCTCTGGAGTGAGACCTCTGGAGTGAGACATCTGCCTCTGGAGTGAGACCTCTGCCTCTGGAGTGAGACCTCTGCCTCTGGAGTGAGACCTTTGCTTCTGGAGTGAAACCTCTGCCTCTGGAGTGAGACCTCTACCTCTGGAGTGAAACCTCTGCCTCTGGAGTGAGACCTCTGCCTCTGGAGTGAGACCTCTGCCTCTGGAGTGAGACCTCTGTCTCTGGAGTGAGACCTCTACCTCTGGAGTGAGACCTCTACCTCTGGAGTGAGACCTCTGCCTCTGGAGTGAGACCTCTACCTCTGGAGTGAGACCTCTGCCTCTGGAGTGAGACCTCTGCCTCTGGAGTGAGACCTCTGGAGTGAGACATCTGTCTCTTGAATGCAAGAGGCAGATGGCGGACTTTTGAATGCACTTGTTAAATGAATGGGGTTTATGCTGGATAACGCATGTGCAAATGTGTTTTTGTCCACAAAAGGCAAAAGTGGTAGCACATTAGTATCAACGGCGGTATTAACCTACGGCACAGGTTTTTAGTGGTAGTGGAAACCGGAGCACCTGTGTTAAATCCCAGCTTCACAAGACTAGAGAGGACCTGGACCATGGGACACTGACCTGGTCTCCTGTCTCCCCTGTGTCCCCTGTCTCCCCTGTGTCCCCTGTATGCAGGTGGACGGGCTGAAGCAGTGCTGTCTCGTCCGCTTTGAGGACAACTCTGAGTTCTGGGTCCTGCGTAAAGACATCCACACCTGTGAGCTCCTGGGGGCCGTGGGACTGTGTGTGTGTGTGCTCTTACTGACATGTCCCCTCTCTCTCTATCCTCTCTGTCCTCTCTCTCTCCCCTCTCTCCTCTCTCTCTCTCCCCTCTCTCTCTCCTCTCTGTCCTCTCTCTTCTCTCTCTCCTCTCTCTCCTCTCTGTCTCCTCTCTGTCTCTTTTCTCCTCTCTCTCTCCTCTCTCCTCTCCCCTCTCTCTGTCCTCTCACCTCTCTCGTTTCTCCTATCTCCCTTCTCTCTTCTCTCTTCCCCGTCTCTCTCTCCTCTCTCTCCTCTCTCCCTTCTCTCTCCTCTCTTCCCCCTCTCTCTCTCCTCTCTCCCCCCTCTGTCCACAGTCGCAGGAGTGGGGGAGGACACCTGCTGTCTCTGTGATGGACCAGCTCTCAAAGACCTGCTGGTCACGTGTCTGAAGTGTCGCCACGGTGAGCAGGACGACTGCAGTAGTTTGCAAAAGTGACAATAATACTTTCACTTTTACAGTTGTCATGTTTTGACCGTGAATAGACATATTTGATGCTGTTTTTATGTTCTGAGAGATCATAAGGACAGATGACCCTGAAGCCAAAGCAAAACAATACAGAATTTTGTCATTTCAAAATAAAAGTTTTTGTGAGGACTTTGTTTTTGTCACTTGTACAAAAATCCCATATTTAATTTAATATCTAAACAATTAATCGATTCATTGAAATATGATCTATTACACAAGTTGACAGCCAAAAAATGGTCAGGGGTTTCTCAACTGATTTAGACTAATTTTGGTGTTCTGAGTCCGAATATCACATGCATCAGGTCAACTTTTTGAGATACAGCCATAGTGTTACGGATTACGTACGTCTACGTTTTACGTGTGTGGTGTGTGCGAGGGTTTCAATAACAAATCCGTAGCGACGAGGAGATATTTTATTATAAACAAACTAATCCAGTTAAATCATAGAGGGTACAAATTAAACAAAAAAACATAAATTTGCTACGCAACAAGATACTCCCTATTTATAGCCTCCCTGTCCAGACACCCGGGAAAAATAACTTAACGAGGGCACCCAATCACTAAATTCGCGCTGCGACATGCTAAAAATATAACAAAGCGCGCCAATCTACAATTAAACAAATGCGTGTCATACTGAAGACACACACTTCCTCACCTCTCCCTGACGTAATGCAACAAGTCAAAAGCAGACCATACTAAAAAAAAGAATCATCCCCATAGCAACAAATATCTTGCATAAGGCCTACCTGACGAGCCAGACAAATTGTCACGTAACGCTCATTGTTTTACTAATATTATGAATTCTGCTTATCAAATTTGATGGAGTAAATAAAAACTGAATGACTTTGGATACGTTGACTTTTATTTCTTGAGGAAAACGGAAAAAACGTCAAGGGTTTCTTAGCTGATGATCCGCAGAAATTTGTTTTTTACGCAAAATCGAAAAAAAAAAAAAAATCGGTGGCAAAAAATCCTGACCTGATTGAGCAAAACCAAGGTCATTTTCGGACTCAGAGCATCAAAATTAGTCTAATTCAGCTGAAAAACCCTGGACTATTTTCAAAAAATATTTTTTTGTTACCCAGTGAAATCAATATTATCGTTGACTTCAGCCCAATGCAGTTTTGAAGCGTTTTGAGCAGTGATGTGAAGTTCTGGAGTGAGTCTGGGTTCCTGATGTGGGAAGCAGCTCCAGAGAGATCAGAAGGATCGGTCCTCTGGGTTCAGAAGGATTGGTCCTCTGGGTTCAGACTCGGTCCTCTGGGTTCAGAAGGATTGGTCCTCTGGGTTCAGACTCGGTCCTCTGGGTTCAGACTCGGTCCTCTGGGTTCAGAAGGATTGGTCCTCTGGGTTCAGACTCGGTCCTCTGGGTTCAGAAGGATTGGTCCTCTGGGTTCAGACTCGGTCCTCAGGATTCAGAAGGCTCGGTCCTCATGGGACCGGGAGCCAGTGGAGTTGTTTGAGGAGAGGGGTGACATTGTTTATGTGATGAGCTTATTGCTCTGTATTTCTCTGTATCCCATCACCAACATGCCTCTACCATGTGCCTCTACCAACATGCCTCTACCATGTGCCTCTACCATGTGCCTCTACCATGTGCCTCTACCATGTACCTCTACCATGTGCCTCTACCATGTGCCTCTACCAACATGCCTCTACCATGTGCCTCTACCATGTGCCTCTACCATTTGCCTCTACCATGTGCCTCTACCATGTGCCTCTACCATGTGCCTCTACCATGTGCCTCTACCATGTGCCTCTACCATTTGCCTCTACCATTTGCCTCTACCATGTACCTCTACCATGTGCCTCTACCATGTGCCTCTACCAACATGCCTCTACCATGTGCCTCTACCATGTGCCTCTACCATGTGCCTCTACCATTTGCCTCTACCATGTGCCTCTACCATGTACCTCTAGCATGTGCCTCTACCATGTACCTCTAGCATTTGCCTCTACCATGTACCTCTAGCATGTGCCTCTACCATGTACCTCTACCATGTGCCTCTACAGTGTGCCTCTACCATGTGCCTCTACCATGTGCCTCTACTATGTGCTTTGGACAGGGTACCATGTGACCTGTCACTGCCCCCCCGTGGACCCGGAGGTGGACCAGGACTCGTGGATCTGCAGACACTGTGTCTTCGCGGTTGCGACTAAGGTCAGAGGAGAGTCTGCAGCAGAACGCTGTAGTTAGTGCTTCACACAGACAGCTGTAGTTAGTCCTTCACACAGACAGCTGTAGTTAGTGCTTCACACAGACAGCTGTAGTTAGTCCTTCACACAGACAGCTGTAGTTAGTGCTTCACACAGACAGCTGTAGTTAGTGCTTCACACAGACAGCTGTAGTTAGTGCTTCACACAGACAGCTGTAGTTAGTCCTTCACACAGACAGCTGTAGTTAGTGCTTCACACAGACAGCTGTAGTTAGTCCTTCACACAGACAGCTGTAGTTAGTGCTTCACACAGACAGCTGTAGTTAGTGCTTCACACAGACAGCTGTAGTTAGTCCTTCACACAGACAGCTGTAGTTAGTGCTTCACACAGACAGCTGTAGTTAGTCCTTCACACAGACAGCTGTAGTTAGTCCTTCACACAGACAGCTGTAGTTAGTCCTTCACACAGACAGCTGTAGTTAGTCCTTCACACAGACAGCTGTAGTTAGTCCTTCACACAGACAGCTGTAGTTAGTGCTTCACACAGACAGCTGTAGTTAGTGCTTCAAACAGACAGCTGTAGTTAATCCTTCACACAGACAGCTGTAGTTAGTCCTTCACACAGACAGCTGTAGTTAGTCCTTCACACAGACAGCTGTAGTTAGTGCTTCACACAGACAGCTGTAGTTAGTCCTTCACACAGACAGCTGTAGTTAGTCCTTCACACAGACAGCTGTAGTTAGTCCTTCACACAGACAGCTGTAGTTAGTGCTTCACACAGACAGCTGTAGTTAGTCCTTCACACAGACAGCTGTAGTTAGTCCTTCACACAGACAGCTGTAGTTAGTCCTTCACACAGACAGCTGTAGTTAGTGCTTCACACAGACAGCTGTAGTTAGTCCTTCACACAGACAGCTGTAGTTAGTGTTTCACACAGACAGCTGTAGTTAGTCCTTTACACAGACAGCTGTAGTTAGTGCTTCACACAGACAGCTGTAGTTAGTCCTTCACACAGACAGCTGTAGTTAGTCCTTCACACAGACAGCTGTAGTTAGTCCTTCACACAGACAGCTGTAGTTAGTGCTTCACACAGACAGCTGTAGTTAGTGCTTCACACAGACAGCTGTAGTTAGTCCTTCACACAGACAGCTGTAGTTAGTCCTTCACACAGACAGCTGTAGTTAGTGCTCCACACAGACAGCTGTAGTTAGTGCTTCACACAGAGAGCTGTAGTTAGTCCTTCACACAGACAGCTGTAGTTAGTGCTTCACACAGACAGCTGTAGTTAGTGCTTCACACAGACAGCTGTAGTTAGTGCTTCACACAGACAGCTGTAGTTAGTGCTTCACACAGACAGCTGTAGTTAGTGCTTCACACAGACAGCTGTAGTTAGTCCTTCACACAGACAGCTGTAGTTAGTGCTTCACACAGACAGCTGTAGTTAGTGCTTCACACAGACAGCTGTAGTTAGTCCTTCACACAGACAGCTGTAGTTAGTGCTTCACACAGACAGCTGTAGTTAGTCCTTCACACAGACAGCTGTAGTTAGTGCTTCACACAGACAGCTGTAGTTAGTCCTTCACACAGACAGCTGTAGTTAGTGCTTCACACAGACAGCTGTAGTTAGTCCTTCACACAGACAGCTGTAGTTAGTGCTTCACACAGACAGCTGTAGTTAGTGCTTCACACAGACAGCTGTAGTTAGTGCTTTACACAGACAGCTGTAGTTAGTCCTTTAAACAGACAGCTGTAGTTAGTGCTTCACACAGACAGCTGTAGTTAGTGCTTCACACAGACAGCTGTAGTTAGTGCTTCACACAGACAGCTGTAGTTAGTCCTTCACACAGACAGCTGTAGTTAGTGCTTCACACAGACAGCTGTAGTTAGTCCTTCACACAGACAGCTGTAGTTAGTGCTTCACACAGACAGCTGTAGTTAGTGCTTCACACAGACAGCTGTAGTTAGTCCTTCACACAGACAGCTGTAGTTAGTCCTTCACACAGACAGCTGTAGTTAGTGCTTCACACAGACAGCTGTAGTTAGTGCTTCACACAGACAGCTAAAAGATAGAAGAGATCATTTCCCACTCATGGTTGGTTCGCGGTTAGTGGTAAAGAAATAGACAAACAAAACAGAAGCGTTGGGGGAAAATCGATTCCATTCAGTGTCACTGTAGTTTGCACAAGAAATTACATCGATACAGTGGCAAAGTATTGTGATACTTTCGTTTCACATTCATGTTTTCAAGTTTACGCTGGTCTTTTACATTTGCGTTTTACATCCACAAGGTGGCGCTTTGTTGTTGAATTTCTGTTCAGGCGAGAGCATAAACAATGTGAACAACCAAGAGCTGAGATACAATCAAAGTGTGAGTTTGTTCTTTAGTAAATGTGACATATGAAAAAGTGACCACGTCACCGGTACCACCTGGCAGCCGTCTGAAACCGTCTGCCCCGAATCAGGAAGTTACTAGACACTAAATAGACAAGAGTAAACAAAGACATATCTACTCTAGACTTAAACAATGAAGTGCCTACATGCGATAATATTTACGCTCTGTTTGAATCAAGAGCTGAGGATTAGTTAATAACTTACTCTTATAACTATTTGATGCTTGTTCAATGATAACAAAAACAATGCTTCCATCCTAAATGTTTGCTCCAGTTCATGTCCAGACCACAATAAATGTCACAGAGACAAGGCTCTTATTTTCCTCCATGTTTGTAAAGTCTTTGAATAAAATGAGTGACAGGGATCACAATATATCACAGAATCGAATCACAAACTGTCTGTATCAATGTTAACAATCACAATACAGTAATATTGAATTGTGGCCCAAATATACTATTGAATCGTCACATTTTTGATAATTCACTGCTCTACTAAACAGTGGTCATAACAGCTCATGGTCAATAAAATCTAAAGGCTAGAAAAAACACGATAAATCATAATTAAAGTTATGAGAATGTAATAACATCATGTTTTCTCCAAAGATGAAGCACCATGTGGTCTGATTTGATCATTTTACTTTACATGATGTATCATAAAAGTTTCTGACTAAATAACTAAGAATAGTGCACATGTTTCCAGTCTGCCTTCTTTACTTTCTGACATCAAGACATTTTTATGAAACAAAATAGTCATCACTGTAGCATCTATACTTGCTCCACATAAAGATCAACCATCGTCCGTTTGAAGCCATAGCGTGAATCCCAGTCCCCACACAGTCTGCTAACTGAATATATATGTGTGTGTGTGTGTGTGTGTGTGTTTGTGTGTGTGCGTGTATCTCTGTGTGTTGACAGAGGGGCGGGGCCATGAAGCGTGGTCGTTTTGCCAGACTGATGCAGTACATGAAGCTGCGTCTGCCCTATCAGCTCTCGGCTCTGGACTGGGACCCTCAACATCTGACCAATCAGCAGCAGTGTTACTGCTACTGCGCTGGGCCTGGAGAGTAAGTGTTTGTGTCCACAGGCAGACACACACACCCACACCCACAGGCAGACACACACACAGGCAGTTGCACACACACACACACACACACACAAACTCCCAGAGCAGTCAACTTGACGGGTCGTTGGGCACAGCCAACATTCTGGGAGTTAAAGCTACTCAAGTAAAAAGATCATTTATTGGAAATAACATAGAAATAAACTACACACAGATACAGAACAAGTCACAACAGTTTGAGACTTAACTGGACACAACACGACTGAATGAAAGTGCATAGAAAAGCTCCTGACATCTGTCCTCTCCTTTGTCCTCCTCTGTCCTCCTTTCTCCTCCTCTGACCACCTCTGTCCTCTCCTCTCTCCTCCTCTGTCCTCTCTCCTCTGTCCTCCTCTCTCCTCCTCTCTCCTCCTCTGTCCTCTCTCCTCTGTCCTCCTCTCTCCTCTTCTCTCCTCCTCTGTCCTCCTCTCTCCTCCTCTGTTCCCCCTCTCCTCCTCTGTCCTCCTCTCTCCTGCTCTCTCCTCCTCTGTCCTCCTCTGTCCTCCTCTCTTCCCCCTCTCCTCCTCTGCCCTCCTTTCTCCTCCTCTGTCCTCCTCGGTCCTCCTCGGTCCTCCTCTGTCCTCCTTTCTCCTCCTCTGTCCTCCTCGGTCCTCCTCTGTCCTCCTCTCTCCTCCTCTGTCCTCCTCTCTCCTCCTCTCTCGTCCTCTGTCCTCCTCTCTCCTCCTCTGTCCTCCTCTCTCCTCCTCTCTCGTCCTCTGTCCTCCTCTCTCCTCCTCGGTCCTGCTCTCTCCTCCTCTCTCCTACTCTGTCCTCCTCTCTCCTCCTCTCTCCTACTCTGTCCTCCTCTCTCCTCCTCTCTTCCCCCTCTCCTTCTCTGCCCTCCTCTCTCCTCCTCTGTCCTCCTCTCTCCTCCTCTGTCCTCCTCTCTCCTCTTCTCTCCTCCTCTGTCCTCTCTCCTCTGTCCTCCTCTCTCCTCCTCTGTCCTCCTCTCTCCTGCTCTCTCCTCCTCTCTCGTCCTCTGTCCTCCTCTCTCCTCCTCTGTCCTCCTCTGTCCTCCTCTGTCCTCCTCTCTCCTGCTCTCTCCTCCTCTTTCCTCCTCTCTCCTCCTCTCTCCTCCTCTCTCCTCCTCTCTCCTACTCTCTCCTCCTCTCTCCTCCTCTCTCCTGCTCTCTCCTCCTCTCTCCTTCTCTCTCCTGCTCTCTCCTACTCTGTCCTCCTCTCTCCTCCTCTCTCCTGCTCTCTCCTCCTCTGTCCTCCTCTCTCGTCCTCTCTCCTCCTCTGTCCTCCTCTGTCCTCCTCTCTCCTCCTCTCTCCTCCTCTCTCCTCCTCTCTCCTGCTCTCTCCTCCTCTCTCCTCCTCTCTCCTGCTCTCTCCTCCTCTCTCCTCCTCGGTCCTGCTCTCTCCTACTCTGTCCTCCTCTGTCCTCTCCTCCTCTGTCCTGCTCTCTCCTCCTCTGTTCCCCCTCTCCTCCTCTGTCCTCCTCTCTCCTGCTCTCTCCTCCTCTCTCCTCCTCTCTTCCCCCTCTCCTCCTCTGTCCTCCTCTCTCCTGCTCTCTCCTCCTCTGTCCTCCTCTCATCCCCCTCTCCTCCTCTGCCCTCCTTTCTCCTCCTCTGTCCTCCTCGGTCCTCCTCTGTCCTCCTTTCTCCTCCTCTGTCCTCCTCGGTCCTCCTCTGTCCTCCTCTCTCCTCCTCTGTCCTCCTCTCTCCTCCTCTCTTGTCCTCTGTCCTCCTCTCTCGTCCTCTGTCCTCCTCTCTCCTCCTCTCTCGTCCTCTGTCCTCCTCTCTCCTCCTCGGTCCTGCTCTCTCCTCCTCTCTCCTCCTCTGTCCTCCTCTCTCTTCCTCTGTCCTCCTCTCTCCTCTTCTCTCCTCCTCTGTCCTCTCTCCTCTGTCCTCCTCTCTCCTGCTCTCTCCTCCTCTCTCCTGCTCTCTCCTCCTCTCTCGTCCTCTGTCCTCCTCTCTCCTCCTCTGTCCTCCTCTGTCCTCCTCTCTCCTGCTCTCTCCTCCTCTTTCCTCCTCTGTCCTCCTCTCTCCTGCTCTCTCCTCCTCTGTCCTCCTCTCTCCTCCTCTCTCCTACTCTGTCCTCCTCTGTCCTCCTCTCTCCTGCTCTCTCCTCCTCTCTCCTCCTCGGTCCTGCTCTCTCCTACTCTGTCCTCCTCTCTCCTCCTCTCTCCTGCTCTCTCCTCCTCTCTCCTCCTCTCTCCTGCTCTCTCCTCCTCTCTCCTCCTCTGTCCTCCTCTCTCCTCCTCTGTCCTCCTCTGTCCTCCTCTCTCCTCCTCTCTCCTCCTCTTTCCTCCTCTGTCCTCCTCTCTCCTGCTCTCTCCTCCTCTGTCCTCCTCTCTCCTCCTCTCTCCTCCTCTCTCCTCCTCTCTACTCCTCTCTCCTGCTCTCTCCTCCTCTCTCCTCCTCGGTCCTGCTCTCTCCTACTCTGTCCTCCTCTCTCCTCCTCTCTCCTGCTCTCTCCTCCTCTGTCCTCCTCTCTCGTCCTCTGTCCTCCTCTGTCCTCCTCTGTCCTCCTCTCTCCTCCTCTCCCCTCCTCTCTCCCGCTCTCTCCTCCTCTCTCCTCCTCTCTCCTGCTCTCTCCTCCTCTCTCCTCCTCGGTCCTGCTCTCTCCTACTCTGTCCTCCTCTGTCCTCCTCTCTCCTCCTCTCTCCTGCTCTCTCCTCCTCTCTCCTGCTCTATCCTCCTCGGTCCTGCTCTCTCTCCTCCTCTCTCCTATTTTCTCCTGCTCTCTCCTCCTCTCTCCTACTCTGTCCTCCTCTGTCCTCCTCTCTCCTCCTCTCTCCTGCTCTCTCCTCCTCTCTCCTGCTCTATCCTCCTCTCTCCTCCTCGGTCCTGCTCTCTCCTACTCTGTCCTCCTCTGTCCTCCTCTCTCCTCCTCTCTCCTGCTCTCTCCTCCTCTGTCCTCCTCTCTCCTCCTCTCTCGTCCTCTCTCGTCCTCTCTCCTCCTCTCTCCTGCTCTCTCCTCCTCTCTCCTCCTCTCTCGTCCTCTCTCCTCCTCTGTCCTCCTCTGTCCTCCTCTCTCCTCCTCTCTCCTCCTCTCTCCTGCTCTCTCCTCCTCTCTCCTCCTCGGTCCTGCTCTCTCCTCCTCTCTCCTCCTCGGTCCTGCTCTCTCCTGCTCTGTCCTCCTCTGTCCTCCTCTCTCCTCCTCTCTCCTGCTCTCTCCTCCTCTCTCCTGCCCTCTCCTCCTCGGTCCTGCTCTGTCCTGCTCTCTCCTCCTCTCTCCTATTCTCTCCTCCTCTCTCCTCCTCGGTCCTGCTCTCTCCTCCTCTCTCCTACTCTGTCCTCCTCTGTCCTCCTCTCTCCTACTCTCTCCTCCTCTCTCCTGCTCTCTCCTCCTCTCTCCTGCTCTCTCCTCCTCTCTCCTCCTCGGTCCTGCTCTCTCCTACTCTGTCCTCCTCTCTCCTCCTCTCTCCTGCTCTCTCCTCCTCTGTCCTCCTCTCTCCTCCTCTCTCGTCCTCTCTCCTCCTCTCTCGTCCTCTCCCCTCCTCTCTCCTCCTCGGTCCGGCAGGTGGCATCTGAAGATGCTGCAGTGTGCTCGCTGTGGTCAGTGGTTCCATGAGGCCTGTACCCAGTGTCTGTCCAAACCTCTGCTCTACGGAGACAGGTACAGGACAATCTTCATCTGTTCTTCCTACGAGAGACAGAATGTTTTCCTTTTGAAGCATCTTTGAACAATGTATAAAACTGATTTTTTATTCGTTACAGAAATCATTTGACGCTAAATAAATGTTGTGTGTTTGTTTTCCAGGTTTTATGAGTTTGAGTGTTCGGTTTGTACCAAGGGCCTAGAGACCATCCAGCGCCTGCCCATGACCTGGTGAGACCAGAGCGAGACCAGAGGGACCAGAGAGACCAGAGAGAACCAGAGAGAGAGACCAGAGAGAGAGACCAGAGAGAGAGACCAGAGAGAGAGACCAGATAGAGAGACCAGACAGAGACCAGAGAGAGACCTGAGAGAGACTAGAGATAGACTAGAGAGAGACTAGAGCGAGAACAGGGAGAGGGAGAGAGACCAGAGAGAGACCAGAGAGACCAGACAGAGACCAGAGAGAGGGACCAGAGAGAGGGAGAGATACCTGAGAGAGAGACCAGAGAGAGACCAGAGAAAGACTAGAGAGAGACCAGAGAGAGAGACCAGACAGAGAGCAGAGAGAGAGACCAGAAAGAGAGACCAGTGAGAGAGACGGCAAAAATGCACACACAAAAAATATCATTGTAGTGATGAACATTAGACACATAAGACGTACGTTTTACAATGATCATCTCTGACGCACAAAACTATAAGATAAATATAATATTATTGTTTTACTTTCTGCTCTTTGGGCTGAAAGTAACTGTGGACTGTTGAACTCCTGTGGCTAAAGTCCTTCCCACCTGTGCTCACACTGACCCCCCCACTCTCCGCAGGGTGGACCTGGCCCATCTGGTCCTCTACCACCTGTCCCTGTGCTGCAAGAGGAAGTACTTTGACTTCGACCACGAGATCCTGTCCTTCGCCATCGAGAACTGGGAGTCTCTGCTGCTGGGCGCGGTACGACTGCAGCAGCTTCACCACATTGTTGATCTATCAGATCTATCAGATTTATCATATCAGAATTTCACTTTTTGTCAGTCAATACATAAAATATAAAAATCTTGAAGTAAATCTGATCATCATCCAAATGACTTGGTCTCACGTGTGGAGAAAAGAGACAGAGACAGCAGCAATCGCACCTGAACCCTTGTTCTGTCTGAAAGAACCCTTCTGTTCTTTCAGACAGAAGAAAAGAAGATAAGGTTTATGATGTGTATCAATGTGCATCAGAACAGAGTCGACATCCTTGAGATATTAATGATGCTTAAGATATTGGTCCTTGTGAAAGTAGGTAAAACCATGATGCTCTAGTGAAATATTCTGAAAACTCTCAAGTCAGGCTTTCACCTGCAGGTGGCGCCACAAATCAAACATTCTGGGATCAGGACCAGTTTGAATCCAAACTCACAAATTCAATTTACTCCAAATTATTTTCAAACCCAGAAGTTGGTCTTTCCCGCTCTGTTAGAGCCCACCCCGACACATCAGCTACAGCAGAGTCATCAGAGGCACAAACTACAGGCTTCAGCATTTAGACAAATGTGGTTGGAAGGATGCCAGAATATTTAAGTACAAGTATAAGAAAACAAACTAAATATTTTACGATTGAAACTGCTCACCTTCAGCACTCATTGAAATGGATAATTATTAAAGATACTCCAGCTTTAAATCCAGTTGGATCGACTTTCTGCAACAGGATCCTGGATGGAACGAATATCCACCTTACTCTATGAATGAAAACTAAAGCTTTCATACATTGCTGTATGTGTGTGTGTGTGTGTTTGTTTGTGTGTGTGTGCACGCGTGTGTGTGTGTGTGTGTGTATGTGTGTGTAGCTGTCGGACACCCCGAGGCAGGAGCGCTGTCACCACCTGCTGAACGCCCTGAACGAGCACAAGGACAGGTACAAACTACACCCTCTCACAAGGGTTAGGAGTCAGAGGCCAGAGGTCAAAGGTCAGGGGTGTGAATCCAATGGGTGCTTGTAACACAAGTCAAACCTCTCTCCGTTCTGTCCCGCCCGCGCCGTAAAGCTCTCCCTGTTAGTCTTTCCATTTTCAAGGTTCAAGGTCCAATTTACGGTAGTCTCACAGCTGTTGGATACAAACTTCTCTCTCTCTTAGGTCACTCTCTGGTCTCTCTTTGGTCTAAAGGTATAGGTGCACTTTATTGATCCCCATAGGGTAATTCAATCCGGAGTACCGGAGGAAACCTATGCAAGCACGGGGAGAACATGCAAACTTCACTCAGAAAGACCCGTCCCGACCGTGATTTTAACCCAGAACCTTCTTGCTGAGAGGCGAGAGTGCTATCCACTCAGCCACCGTGCCGCCCACGGTGGCTGAGTGGATACCCAGGTCTCTCTCCGGTCTCCCTCTGGTTTGTCTGGTGTCTCTCTGGTCTCTCTCCGGTCTCCCTCTGGTTTGTCTGGTGTCTCTCTGGTCTCTCTCCGGTCTCCCTCTGGTTTGTCTGGTGTCTCTCTGGTCTCTCTCCGGTCTCCCTCTGGTTTGTCTGGTGTCTCTCTGGTCTCTCTCTGGTATCCTTCTGGTCTGTCTGGTCTCTGTCTGGTCTCTCTCTGGTCTCTCCGGTCTTTCTCTGGTCTATCAATACCAACACTAGAAGTTACAGTAGAAACAGTATTGACACAATAAGCACATACTGTACACTGACTAAAGTGCTAGTGCGGTGCAGATGAAATTGCACATGCCCAAACAAAGTGCTTGTGCAGTTGGAAACAGTATTGCACATGCCTGATATTAGAGAAACAGGAGAGCTAAGGAGTATTGCACAAGCCTGATATTAGAGAAACAGGAGAGCTACGGAGTATTGCACAAGCCTGATATTAGAGAAACAGGAGAAACAAGAACGTTAAAGAGTATTGCACCTGATTTATTACATGTGTTCACTGGAAATAATCCCTTGATAAAAATAAGCAAGAAATATATGATCAAATGTAAAATACTGCTTAAAATAATAAATCAAATATCTGCCAATAGAACAAGAAAATATGACGTGACAAGATTTATGAAAAAAACTAAATAATACTAGCCCCAAATGACTTGATTCTGGTACAAGAACATACATTTCCAGTATTATTAACTTATTAAACATATTTGAGAAATGTTTAGCGCAAAAAACTCACTACTCAGACATTTTTCTCTACTAATATTATGAAGTATTATTATCTTAAAACTAGTAAAATAAATCCATAATAAACCAAGATATGACTTTTTTCAGTGTTGCAGTTATGAGATTGCAGTCTGTCCCGTTTCCCCTCAGACAAAGTTTATGATTGTTGTCACATACACATTACATGCAGTGCTATTCTTCTGTATCTCCAGCAGAAGTTCAGGTCAGTATTAGGGACACACAACAGAAACAGAGAAAGGACACACAGATATAACTGACTTGTGTGTGCGTGCCGCAGGTTTGTGTCGGGGAAAGAGATCAAGAAGAAGAAGTGCCTGTTTGGACTCCAGGTTCGAGCTCCGCCCCCTCTGGCCTCAGACTCCTCCCCCGTCCTCACTGAGGCTCCGGTCAGCATCGCTCACCGCAAAAGGTCAGCACCTGATGCCCTGGTGTTTTAATACTGTTCCACATTTACATACGCACATGAAAGTACATCTATCTCTACTTAAATACGTCACTTTTGTCTCAGTATACATACAGACTCAGACCTGTCTCAGTATACATACAGACTCAGACCTCTGTCTCAGTATACATACAGACTCAGACCTGTCTCAGTATACATACAGACTTAGACTTCTGTCTCAGTATACATACAGACTCAGACTTGTCTCAGTATACATACTGTACAGACTCAGACCTCTGTCTCAGTATACATACAGACTCAGACCTCTGTCTCAGTATACATACAGACTCAGACCTCTGTCTCAGTATACATACAGACTCAGACCTGTCTCAGTATACATACAGACTTAGACTTCTGTCTCAGTATACATACAGACTCAGACTTGTCTCAGTATACATACAGACTTAGACTTCTGTCTCAGTATACATACAGACTCAGACTTGTCTCAGTATACATACAGACTCAGACCTGTCTCAGTATACATACAGACTTAGACTTCTGTCTCAGTATACATACAGACTCAGACTTGTCTCAGTATACATACAGACTCAGACCTCTGTCTCAGTATACATACAGACTCAGACCTCTGTCTCAGTATACATACAGACTCAGTCCTCTGTCTCAGTATACATTCAGACTCAGTCCTCTGTCTCAGTATACATACAGACTCAGTCCTCTGTCTCAGTATACATACAGACTCAGTCCTCTGTCTCAGTATACATACAGACTCAGTCCTCTGTCTCAGTATACATACAGACTCAGTCCTCTGTCTCAGTATACATACAGACTCAGACCTCTGTCTCAGTATACATACAGACTCAGTCCTCTGTCTCAGTATACATACAGACTCAGACCTCTGTCTCAGTATACATACAGACTTAGACCTCTGTCTCAGTATACATACAGACTTAGACCTCTGTCTCAGTATACATACAGGTTCAGTCTTCTCTGATCATGTGATTGTGTTGCTTCCAGCCCTCTGTCCGTCCCTTGTTCAAAGAGAGTGGGCGCCCTCGAGTACAGGAAGCCTAAGAGACGACTGTCTGAGTCACAGGTCAGTGCGTCACACGTCCACACTTCAGAATGAGCTGCTGATACAGAGGGCTAAAGATGACCAATCTGAAGCCCGTTGTCCAACAGCTCCGTTCATTCATTCATTCAGACATGAAACTATAGCATACACTGTGGCGTTAGTTTCATGTTATAATGTGTCCATTGGTAGTAGTAATGGTAGTAGTGGTAGTGGTAGATAGATAGATGCTTTAGTGTTCCCCTGTAGGAGAAATTAAGCTGTCCAGCAGCAGAAGACTCATCCAGTTTGTTGTACAGTCTTACAGCCGAAGGAACAAAGGATCTCTTTAAACGTTCCGTTCGGCGGCGTAGTGATAGGAGCCTGTTGCTACGATGACTCTTCTGAGCGGTCACAGTGTCATGCAGAGGGTGGGGTTACCCAGGATGCCCTGCATTAGAGCCCAGCACAGCTCCCACAGAGTCAACACATCTCCCCATCACAGAGACAAATTTCCTGATCAGCCTGTCGAGCCGGTTACTGTCTCTCAAGGTCAGACTGCACCCAACACGTGACCCCAAACAAGACGGCCTTAGCTACCACAGACTGGTAAAATATGTGCAACATTTGACTGCTTACATTGAAGGACCTCAGTCTTGTCAGGAAGAAGAGTCTGCTCTGACCTTTCTTATAGACAGCTTTGGTCTAGCCTGTCCAATTTGTAGGACTGAACCACCTCGATGTCCTGTCCATTTACTGTGATCTGTTGATGGGAAGGGCTCTTGTGAAAGACAATGATAATTTCCTTCGTCATGGACGCATTGAAAACCAGACCATTTCTCTCACTATAATCTGAGAAGGCAGCCACCACCTCCCTATACTCCGCTTCCTCCTCCTCTTCACACATGCCACAACAGCGGTATCGTCCGAGTATTTTTGTACATGGCATGTAGCAGAGTTGTGTGCAAAGTCTGCAGTGTAAATTGTGAAAAGGGTAAGGGAGCCAGAACGGCACCCTGTGGTGCTCCCGTACTGCTCACAACAGTCCCAGACACGCTGTTCCCTAAACTGACATACTGTGACCTCACAGTGAGGTAATTGTAAATCCAGTTGGTAAAGATGGGATCAACTCCAATGTTCTCCAGTTTCTCCTTCAGTAAGAGGGGTTGGATGGTGTTAAATGCACTGGAGAAGTTGAAGATCATCAGGCTCACATATCCTCCAGGGCCATCCAGGAAGGACATGGATCGATGGAGCATGATGAGAACCGCCTCGTCCACTCCCATGTTCTCCCGATGGAACTGCAGGGATCAAGAGCCTGCTCCACCTGTGGCTTGAGCAGTCGGAGTACTATCCTCTCAAAAGTCTTCATTATGACAGATGTTAGTGCCACTGGTCTGTAGTCCTTGCATTCTGTCGACCTTGCTACCTTGGGGACTGGTAACAGGCAGGAGGTAGTAGTAGTAATAGTAATAATAGTTGTAATAATAGTAGTATTAGTAGTAGTAGTGTAGTGGCAGTAGCAGTAGTAGCAGTAGTGGTAGTGGTAGTAGTAGTAGTAATAATAGTTGTAGTAGTGGTGGTAGTGGCAGTGGTAATAATAGTAGTAGTGGTAGTAAGCAGCAGCAGCAGCAGCAGCAGTAGTAGTAGCAGTAGCAGTAATAGTAGTAGTAGCAGTAGCAGTAGTAGTAGTAGTAGTAGTAGTCTGATAAGGAGTCAGGTCTACTTTCTGCTGCTGAAGGTTCCTGCAGAGTGAAAACCCCATGAACTCCACATCATGCAGAGTGAGTTGGCCACGGCTCCATCCGAGCGGTGCTTCTCTCACAGTTATCGGTTCACATCCCTCTCTTTAGCTCCTTCAGATGCAGCGTGTCTATTTTTACCCGCTGCTGTTAGTTTGCGCAGACACCCACTGAAGAGCTGCACCTCTTTATGGCTCTGTTCTGTCTCAAAGCTGCTCACGGGGCACCACCGTATGTTGAACTTTTTAATCACTGTTGATTTGTGTGAACAGCACAAATCAATATAGATACAAATATAATTTAAGCCGCAAGAGGCGTTGAACAGCCCTGGCCACATCTATCAAAGGAAATGGTCATCTTTTTACAGCTGTGATGAGAGAAACACTTATCACGTAAAAGGATAATACATAAAAACACCAACTTTTACCATAATACACGTGTTCTTAGTAAACGATGGATTGTAATTCCCGTCAGACTACTGCCTATTTTTTGTAAAACGTACCTTTCCTGCACACATGTTTTAGTAAGTATAAGTTCTTCAGTTTGAAATGCCAAAGTAAAGCGTGGGAACGTTTGTTGATCCTTGGATGTGGGCTCTTCCTGTCATTGTGAAGCAGAATTCACTACTAATAAGGAGCAGGGTCTGGGTTTAGACCGTTGTGAGAATGATGGTGTTGTTGCCGTAGTAATCCTGCTCAATATAATGTTTAAAGGCCAAAATATCTGTAAAATAATGTATATTTAATGTCCTACAAGTTGTGAAACATACTGTCTGCTTCTGGCTGTAGGTGGCTTACTTTGGGCTGCGTTCTAAAAGTTTAGTGGCTTATTGCTCTCTACAAGATCCTGGCAACCCTCTGGGCAGACTCTCTGACCTGAACCTGGCAACCCTCTGTACAGACTATCTGACCTGAACCTGGCAACCCTCTGTACAGACTCTCTGACCTGAACCTGGCAACCCTCTGTGCCGACTCTAACTTGAACCTGGCAACCCTCTGTGCAGACTCTAACAAGAACCTGGCAACCCTCTGGGCAGACTTTCTGACCTGAACCTGGCAACCCTCTGTACAGACTCTCTGACCTGAACCTGGCAACCCTCTGTGCAGACAATAACTTGAACCTGCAAACCCTCTGTGCAGACTCTAACTTGAACCTGGCAACCCTCTGTGCAGACAATAACTTGAACCTGGCAACCCTCTGTGCAGACTCTAACTTGAACCTGGCAACCCTCTGTGTAGACTCTGACCTGGACATGGCAACCCTTTGTGCAGACTCTCTCTGACCTGAACCTGGCAACCCTCTGTGCAGACTCTCTCTGACCTGAACCTGGCAACCCTCTGTGCAGACTCTCTCTGACCTGTGCTTGTCCTCTGCAGACCTGTCCTGCACCGGTGGACGTTGCCCCCATAGACTGTCTGCCGTGTTGCCATGGATACATGGGTGGGACCAGTCTCTGCAATAGGAGGATGGATCAGGGGTTCAGCCCGAGGTAAATCAGAGAGTTTTATTCTGAAGGCTCCTGTTTGGTCCAGTTGGTCATTGTCCACGTTCAGAGCCTGTTGATAAAGTAAACACTGATATGAAATTATACATTTTTGAGCTTCAAAAGAAGAACGAGCAGGAAGTAACATTGTTTACATTCATTCTCATTTACTTTGGCATTTCTTGTTTTAGAGAAATAGTTTTTTACCCTCTGTGTAGGAAAGATATGTGGGAAACACAGTCAAAACTAGCTTAAAACTGACATTGACTGTATCAGGCTGTGGAGAAGACAGTGCTGCAGACCGCTCCTGTCCCACTGCCTCCAGATACATGTTTACACCATAAAGATTTTATTTTACATTGTTTACTGAAAGTTCACACACAAGTAATAGACAACTGTGAAGAGAAAGTAAAATTATGACTTTTCCCTAACAGTGGAGCCCGCCTGTGACTAATCTACTCTCAGTAAATATACAGCTGTGCTTTAAACAGCATCATGAAGGCCAAGGAGACACCACTGAGGTCAGGGGTGAAGGTATGGAGTTTTACTGCAGCGTTAGGTCCTACAAACATTTCCAAAATACATCACAGAGCTCTGTACGATCCATTATTAACAGAAGAAGGATGGCACCACTGCAAATCTACCAAGACTCGGCGAATCAACAGCTTTGCAAAGTCCTTCAAGATAACTACTGTTGGGATTTAGGGCTATAGAAAAACACACAGAAGAGGCCAGTGGTAACTGTGGAGGAGCTGCAGACCTTGGACTTTATGGACGACCAGTAAATAGAAAGTATTGATAAAATCCACCAACAGAAAATCTGGGGACAGAAGTGGAAGAAGGTGTTGTGGTTAGAATCTGACTCATCTAAAGTCAACGGTGGCGCAGTGGTTAACACTTGTGCTTCACACTTGGTCCATTTCCACCTCCAGACAGGCCCTTTCTCTTGAAAGTTTGCATTTTCTCCCTGTGTTTGCTTCGGTTTCCTCTGGGTGTATGTAAAATAGTTCAGGCTGAAAGAGTGTTTTTAGCTCATGGCGACTCTCTGGTGTATTTACTGCTCTGCTGTTACACACGGTCCAAACTCAGTAGATAAATAATCTAAACTGTTCTGCCTCAAACCTGCCCTCAGTGCACCAGCCCCAGTGTCACATGGCGGAGGCAGCATCATCTTAAGGGCTGCTTTTCTTCAAAAGGGACAGGGAAGAATGACAAAGGGAAGGTGAAAATCAAGATTTTTTCTGAAAATCTTTCTTTGTTGTCATTGTCTTCAGCTGTGGATCCACAGCTGCATGAAGCGGCTGTTTGTAGTGGTGCATTCAATAACACTTGAGTGAGGTGTGTCGGGGACGTGATATTGTGCGTCACAGTACGTCTTCCTGCTGTGCCCGCTCTGACGTGCATTTTCACACTTGTCACTCCTTGCAGTCTCATACTTTCCAGACCGCGGTAGAGGAGCGCAGGGGAGATTTGTTGCTCCAGGGCCAAAAGGATGCGTTTCCTAATCCCTTCTGCTCTGACCCTCGCTGTCACTGTGTGGCGCTATTCCAATAACACTTCAGACGTTCGAGAACCAGACTTTATTTTGTGGCCAGAACACACCAACATTCACTTGTGTCCTGCTTCGGTCGCTCTGATCGTAGCCACTCCTCATTCTTTCATTTTCATTCATTCATTTCACATCTCTGACGCCGTTTAAGCTGCTGCACATGGGAGAAAGACACATCTCACACTTATTCACATTGACTCTGTTTACGTGATCCATGCTGGAGCTGTTGGCCACAGCAGCCGAGTGTAAACAGGAAGAGAAACCGAAACTTAAAGCTGCACTATCTGACTTTATTTTTGTATTCATTACGAAAATGCTATCCATATCCATGCAGTGCATTGGAATATACGTCCTTTTGAAGAAGTAGCGCGGATTTGTGCTGGTGTGACATTATATTTTAGATCGAGTTTTCATGAAACAAGGAAGAGAATGTGTTTAGGGTCACAATTGTGACCAATCACAGCGGACCTCTGGCCCCCACTTTCTTTAGAAAAGCTTCAAGTCTCTGGTTAGCACCGACAGCTGAGTTAGCACAACAAGCGACGGAGGCTAACCTGAAACTTCTCGTGTCTTTGTTACCGGTTACTGCTTACACAGCGAAACAGCCAAAAGAAATTCTCGTCCTCTCCGCGCTTCCCGGTTCTGTCATTCTTTGGTCACGCCATCCACGTACAAAAGTGCCATATTGTTCCATACTGTGAGACGCTAGCTCCGAAGCTAACAACAGCACAGAGCACAGGCTGAGGGGGAGGGGGGTAGTGGGGGGCGAAACCTCCGTGGGTGCGGGGAAGGTGAGCTTGCGTTTGAAAATGTCTCAAAATCAGTTAGTGCAGCTTTAACTCGAACCCAGAGGTAGTCGCTGTCGTTGCAATACACCTGCGGCTGGCACGGTTTGAAAAAAACAAACCCTTCTGACCGTGGGCCGTCCTCACACCCCTGTGGGCCGTCCTCACACCCCTGTGGGCCGTCCTCACACCCCTGTGGGCCGTCCTCACACCCCTGTGGGCCGTCCTCACACCCCTGTGGGCCGTCCTCACACCCCTGTGGGCCGTCCTCACACCCCTGTGGGCCGTCCTCACACCCCTGTGGGCCGTCGTCACACCCCTGTGGGCCGTCCTCACAACCCTGTGGGCCGTCGTCACACCCCTGTGGCCACTTGGCCTAGTTGGTTTGTGAAATCTTGTGTGTCCGTGCCACTCCTTGTTGCTGTGTGGAGGGTTTTTTAAGTGTCCATAGACCAGGGCTAATCTACACACTGCCTCTGCATTACTGTCTTTAAATTAACAACTTAAATATTGAATTCTAATATATATACATTTAAAAGGAAATTCTGAAATATCCTTTGGTTAAACAAGTGTTATAACTGGGGGACCCCAAGGCGTCGTTCCAGGAGTAAAGAGAGTCTATCCACTTTGGGAGCAGCTGCTGTAGAGATCAGAGACAGACACAAAACCAGCCGTGACGTGTGCTCCTCTGGTCCCTGCTCCACAGCCCTCCGTCCAAACGGATGATGTCCTTCTACCACAACTCAACGGCTTACAGCGGCAGCACAGGGATGTCCAGGACCCACCACTACTACAACAGGTCAGAGGTCACAGTCTGGACCAGGAAATACAAGAATGTGAAAGAGCGGAGAGAGATCAGTGAGAGATTAGAGAGAGAGAAACTACAGAGAGAGGCCAGAGAGAGACCATAGAGAGATCAAAGAGAGACCAGAGAGGAACCAGAGAGAGAGCAGGGAGAGAGACCAGACAGAGACCAGAAATAGAGACCAGATATTGAGAGATTAGAGAGAGACCAGAGAGAGACCAGAGAGAGACCAGAGAGAGACCAGAGAGAGACCAGAGAGAGACCAGAGAGAGAGACCAGAATTAGCTGATATTGTGTATTTAAAGTGAGTACCATTCTAAGGTTGTGTCTCTTCTTCTCTCAGTGCGGAGGAGGCTCACCGCACACCAGCGCAGTGCCTGCAGTACACGCCCCACAGCGCCCCCCAGTGGCAGCACCAGGCAGCACACACCAACCCCCTCCCGCTGTGTCAGGGGGGGCTGGGAGGGGCCTCTGCGGACGGGGGCGGGACATGGGGGAGCTCCGAGGCGGTGCGCATCCTGGCACGCCGGGTCACCCACGACGGCAAAGTGCAGTACCTGGTGGAGTGGGAGAACGTGGGCATGTACTGAAGCAGACGCACTCTCCACACTCTCCACACGGGGGCGCCGCAGGGGGACTGAAGCAGCGGGAGGGGGCCTCCTGTCCCACCGTCTGCGTCTGTGCTCGGCCCCCAGACTCGTGCACAGTGGACCCTCTCCACGCGGCCACTCGGCTCGTTCCTGTTGTCTTAGTCACGCGGATTCGCACTTCTGCTCTGTATCGTTAATGTTGGCTAAACTGGGCACGCTGAAGCTAACAGTGCGCTAAAGCTAACACACCAACCTTCTTGAGCTAACGGTGACCTGAAGCTAACGGTGAGCTAACGGCTACAGCTGTTGATGACGTTCACCCAGATGGGCAGCTGTAGCATGTTGGAAGATGGACTTTGGAAAAGATAAAGCTCTTTACAAACGGCACAAACAGATTCAACTCGAGGGCTGTCTCCAGAACAAACATGTGCAGAGCGAGTAACTTTGGTATTCGATGTTTGAACACAGTATCCTTGAGCAGCAACCCTTATATACAGAAAAGTAGGAGCGGGAATGGGCAAAAATGTGAGGATTTTATAGTATTGCGATATTTGGGCCACAATTAAATATTATCGCAATTTTTCACATAATGTGATTCATTCAACAGTCATCATAGAGTCACAACAAGGAGACATCATAGAGTCACAACATCAGACATAGAGTCACAACAAGCAGACATCATAGAGTCATAGCAAGCAGACATCATAGAGTCATAGCAAGCAGACATCATAGAGTCATAGCAAGCAGACATCATAGAGTCATAGCAAGCAGACATCATAGAGTCATAGCAAGCAGACATCATAGAGGTATAGCAAGCAGACATCATAGAGTCACAACATCATCCTTATTTACAGTGGACTCTACTGTAACAATTTAATTGTGTGCCCAAAATATCGCGATACTGAACAGAATCGATTTTCCACCATCACTTACAAACAGCCAACCCGTGGGTAGACCTGCATGTTTGTAAAGGACTTTATCTGTTGCACTTTGGGCTAAAAAAGTGTTGTTTGTGCAGATGTGAAAGCACCGGACAAGTTGATTCTCTGATGTAACCTGCTGTTGGTTATTAGTTTATTTGCTGGTGTGATACAGAGCAGGAGTATGAATCCACTGAGACATGTCCATCAGCGCAGCGTCAGACATGCGCCCCCTGCAGGTGACGGCGGGAGCTGCGGCCGCGGGGCCCGGGCTCTGTGGTTGTGAAAGTGCCTCTGACAGGTTGGACCACACATTGTTGTTAAGATATTTATATGAAGATTTAGATAAACACTTGACATATTTTATTCCAGTTTGGCGAGTTTTTAGCATTGAGTTATTAACCTGGTACTACAAATATGGCGGATTGCTTGAAAAGTGCTAACAGACAATGTTGTAAAAACGATACAAATTCTTGAACATTGGTAAAACATAAAGCAAAGATAAAAACAATTCCAGACCCCTCATGTTCTCTCTAGTACCGATTAATAACTCATTGGGTTTTAGGTTTATTATTTTATATCCTGTTTGTACATCATGACAAAGGGAATTTCTTGTTCAAATATTTGCAAGATTTTCGAAGGGTATGAAAACAAGTTACATTTGTTCAATGAATGTCTATGGGTGTCTAATGCTACGTTCTAGCTAACTACATTTCCACGTTCCTGACTTGAAATCGCTCCGGAACACAGCCGTAACGTAAAGTGCATACGACAGATTCGATTTTATTTCACGTACAAATATATTAAACAGTCACATTTTTAAATATTACTTTACGATTGTAAAATAACACTGGGCTGTAGCTCCTCCATTATGGCAGATGGAAATATGGAAGCAACCAACCAGGAACTACATTTTAATTTTAAATATTTACATATTTTAATTTGGTATAAAATAGTTTAAATGAGTCATGGAAGCTAACGGTGAATGAGTCATGGAAGCTAACAGTGAATGAGTCATGGAAGCTAACAGTGAATGAGTCATGGAAGCTAACGGTGAATGTGTCATGGAAGCTAACAGTGAATGAGTCATGGAAGCTAACAGTGAATGAGTCATGGAAGCTAACGGTGAATGAGTCATGGAAGCTAACAGTGAATGAGTCATGGAAGCTAACGGTGAATGAGTCATGGAAGCTAACGGTGAATGGGTCGTGGAAGCTAACAGTGAATGAGTCATGGAAGCTAACGGTGAATGTGTCATGGAAGCTAACGGTGAATGAGTCATGGAAGCTAACAGTGAATGAGTCATGGAAGCTAACAGTGAATGAGTCATGGAAGCTAACAGTGAATGAGTCATGGAAGCTAACAGTGAATGAGTCATGGAAGCTAACAGTGAATGAGTCATGGAAGCTAACAGTGAATGAGTCATGGAAGCTAACGGTGAATGAGTCATGGAAGCTAACGGTGAATGAGTCATGGAAGCTAACAGTGAATGAGTCATGGAAGCTAACAGTGAGTCATGGAAGCTAACAGTGAGTCATGGAAGCTAACGGTGAATGAGTCATGGAAGCTAACGGTGAATGAGTCATGGAAGCTAACAGTGAGTCATGGAAGCTAACAGTGAGTCATGGAAGCTAACAGTGAGTCATGGAAGCTAACAGTGAGTCATGGAAGCTAACAGTGAGTCATGGAAGCTAACGATGAGTCATGGAAGCTAACGGTGAATGAGTCATGGAAGCTAACGGTGAATGAGTCATGGAAGCTAACAGTGAATGAGTCATGGAAGCTAACGGTGAATGGGTCATGGAAGCTAACAGTGAATGAGTCATGGAAGCTAACAGTGAATGAGTCATGGAAGCTAACGGTGAATGAGTCATGGAAGCTAACGGTGAATGAGTCATGGAAGCTAACGGTGAATGAGTCATGGAAGCTAACGGTGAATGAGTCATGGAAGCTAACGGTGAATGAGTCATGGAAGCTAACAGTGAATGAGTCATGGAAGCTAACGGTGAATGAGTCATGGAAGCTAACAGTGAATGAGTCATGGAAGCTAGCTGTGAATGAGTCATGGAAGCTAACAGTGAATGAGTCATGGAAGCTAACAGTGAATGAGTCATGGAAGCTAACAGTGAATGAGTCATGGAAGCTAACAGTGAGTCATGGAAGCTAACAGTGAGTCATGGAAGCTAACAGTGAGTCATGGAAGCTAACGATGAGTCATGGAAGCTAACAGTGAATGAGTCATGGAAGCTAACAGTGAATGAGTCATGGAAGCTAACAGTGAATGAGTCATGGAAGCTAACAGTGAATGAGTCATGGAAGCTAACGGTGAATGAGTCATGGAAGCTAACGGTGAATGAGTCATGGAAGCTAACAGTGAATGAGTCTTAGAAGCTGAAGGTTAGTGAGTTCTGAAAGCTAGCTGTGAATGGGTCATTGAAGCTAAAGGTTGGTGAGTCCTAGAAGCTAGCGATGAATGAGTCCTAGAAGCTAGCGATGAATGAGTCCTAGAAGCTAACAGTCAATGAGTCACTGAAGCTAACGGTGAAGATGCTAAACACCTCATAGCGGCTTATAGTCCAGAAAGTCCAGTACTTCAAATGTGTCAGTCTGCGTTTGTCCGTCCCACACTTGTAGCCAATTCTACGTTTCTACAACTCACACATGTTGCTACAATTATGACAAGTTTCTTCCCAGTTTGGCTTTTTAAAATAAATGTAATAAAATGTTGATAATTGTGCTTCCCTGGTTCTATAATCCCAAAGGAAAAGGAACAATAACACAAACATGATGACAAGGAACAAAAATGTGTTAAAGTGTCAAACTTATGTGCTTGTTGTGTAACTTTTGCGTAGCTGCACTGCCCTACAAAGGAGAGAAACCCAGGAGATAGGCTTTAAAGGAGACATACTATGGATTATTTTCTCTTTCTCCATGTCACGGCATTGTCCCTCATCAGTCACAGACCCAGAGTACTTTTTAGATTCATCCACACTAATATCAGAAACTTCTGAGTCTGCCGCAGTGACTCAAAATGTAATCATCGTTTAGAATCGTGTGTCAAATTCCTGAATCTTTAGGGGAGCTACCTGGAGGGCGCTGGCGAGCTACAGGTTGGAGACCACTGCTTTAACTCTTTAATGTTAATCCTGGAGGAAAGCAATGTAAATTTGTTTTTTTTGGATTTTCTAAGATGTAGGACACTTTTTTTCCCAAACCCGTAGTTTTTGTTCATTATAGACTTAGAATAGAAATTATAGAATAGAATTTTTGAGATGCAGTTTGATGTAAAAGTGCCTAAAACCAAGTGAGACGCCCCAAAGAGGTATTTTTCAGTTCCAAGCTAGTCCATATGGAGCAGGCATGTCAAATTCAGGCCCTAGAGCTAAATCCGGCCCACAAGACCATGTGGCCCCTGAAATGATTTTTAGTTCAGTAACTGGAAGTGGGCTACTATGGCATATTATATAACCGCATAATTGAATTCATTCTAAAATGTTAAGATGTTATTAGAAGTTAGATTAGTAGCTATTAAACTATCAGTCTGCAAATACATCTCTTCTCGAATTTTGGCCCAGCTGTGGTTGAATCCAAAATAAGATACAAATATGTGTCAAATAACACCTTTGGAACCAACAGCTCCTATATTTTTAGATTTGGATTTGTTATACAGACTCAGAAAGTGATAAAAATAATGGTTGAGGAAATCTGTAAAGGATTAAAGTCTGGAGTTAGGTTAGGGTTACGGTTATAGTGTGTATGGAAAGTATGAAAACATGAAGTATTATATATGAAGTATTGTGAATTGTATGTGTCACTTTCATGTCATTTGCTTCCTGTGGTTTTCCTCGGTCGGGCAGTGTGCAGGACTGTGATCCTCCAACGTCCTGAGATTTCAGATCTTTTAAAAAATATATATTTTCCTGCTTAAAAAGATTAACATTCAAATATCCTACAAACCTGTCACACAGAGTTAAAATGGTCTGCACCCCTCCAGGGCAAACGTCACTCCCAGCTGCTTCTGATGGGAAGTATCCGAGTATCCGTCTCCATGATGTGATGTCACTGATGCAATTAAAAGTC